TCGTCCGTGGCCCGTACACTGCCAAAGGCTGCAACACAGGTATGCACCGGTTAATTAGAAAAACGTTGTAAAAATAAAATATTAATTGGATGCTTTCTAAGCAATTGGTATCCATAAATAATTGGAATTTCTCATCAAATTCGAAACGTGTTTATATATAATTGTGTCTCCAAAATTCGTCATTTATTATTGGAATAAAATGTTTTAGTGTTCGGAGTGAAAAAGTTACGCAACGTGTTTGTAATACCATCTTGCGTACTTTATATACTGTGCAGGTTGGAATGAAGTGTTGCATAATATTGTTTTATTTGCAGAAATATATATCTAGTTTTCAAAACATTGAGTATTACGAAAACTCAGAAGCACAATTAGAATACAAAATTTTCAGAATTACATAATGTTGATTCCTGCGACCACCCCAATTGAACGAATATTGTTCGTGTAGGTGAATAATGAACGAAGAATCCAAATTTCTACGAGCGATATCGATTTTCAGGTTATGTTAACATAATCAAATGATGGTGAAAAATTGTCATAAATGTTAAAAATGCAATTCTCAAAGAAAAATTTAGCAAAATGTATATATTTTTTATACTTTAATTAGAAAACAGAAACATTTTGTTTAACTATAGCTTAGTGTTCTATAGCACGTTACATTCCTTCACTCAACGGAACTTACATAAGAAATTTCATACGAGTAGACTTTTTTTTTTGTTAATTGTTTATAAAGAGGTTGGTCGCAAGCGCACTCTGTGTCCCATCTTGATACAATGGCTTGAAACAATTTCTAAATTCTTGCTAGTTCATTACCCCAAATGATGATTCAGTAATTTAGTTGGCTATGGCATTTGCTATATGCAATTGCTAAATAAGAAATATGTGTGAATATAAACAATCAGTTGTTTCATGTAAATAATACAATATATTCTTTTTATTGTAGGTCGCCTGCAAAGCAGCTTATCCAGCTGCTTCTCTGGCTGCACGTAAACTTCATGTCTCGGCCACTCAGCGTAGCGCCGAGATCTCTTCGATTTTGGAAGAACGCATTTTGGGTGTTGCACCCAAAGCTGATTTGGAAGAGACCGGCCGTGTGTTGAGCATTGGTGATGGTATTGCTCGCGTATATGGCTTGAACAACATTCAAGCCGATGAGATGGTGGAATTTTCCTCCGGTCTGAAGGGTATGGCTTTGAATTTGGAACCCGATAACGTTGGTGTTGTCGTATTCGGTAATGACAAATTGATCAAACAAGGCGATATTGTCAAGCGTACCGGTGCTATTGTCGATGTGCCAGTCGGTGATCAATTATTGGGACGTGTTGTTGACGCTTTGGGTAACGCCATTGACGGTAAAGGTGCAATCAACACCAAGGACCGTTTCCGTGTCGGTATTAAGGCTCCCGGTATCATTCCCCGTGTGTCCGTACGCGAGCCTATGCAGACTGGTATTAAAGCCGTCGATTCGTTGGTGCCAATTGGCCGTGGTCAACGTGAGTTGATCATTGGTGACAGACAGACTGGGTAGGGAAACTTGTATTAATATTTATGTCATTATTATGAATAGAATGTTAATCACAAATTATTGAAATTTATCATAATTTCTTATTTATTCAACAGTAAAACCGCTTTGGCTATCGATACCATCATCAACCAGAAGCGTTTCAACGCTGGACAAGATGAGAGCAAGAAATTGTACTGTATCTACGTTGCAATTGGTCAGAAGCGTTCCACTGTCGCCCAGATTGTGAAGCGTTTGACTGATTCTGGTGCCATGAATTATTCCATCATTGTGTCGGCTACAGCCTCTGATGCTGCTCCCCTGCAGTACTTGGCTCCATACTCTGGCTGCGCCATGGGTGAATACTTCCGTGACAAGGGCAAGCACGCCTTGATCATCTATGACGATTTGTCCAAACAGGCTGTTGCCTACCGTCAAATGTCCCTGTTGTTGCGTCGTCCCCCAGGTCGTGAGGCCTACCCTGGTGATGTATTCTACTTGCACTCCCGTTTGTTGGAGCGTGCCGCCAAGATGTCGCCCGCTATGGGTGGTGGTTCCTTGACCGCCTTGCCCGTCATTGAGACACAGGCTGGTGATGTGTCCGCTTACATTCCAACCAATGTCATTTCCATCACTGACGGTCAAATCTTCTTGGAAACTGAATTGTTCTACAAGGGTATCCGCCCAGCTATTAACGTCGGTCTGTCTGTATCCCGTGTCGGTTCAGCTGCCCAGACTAAGGCCATGAAGCAAGTCGCTGGTTCCATGAAATTGGAATTGGCTCAATACCGTGAAGTAGCCGCTTTCGCCCAATTCGGTTCAGATTTGGATGCTGCCACACAACAATTGTTGAACCGTGGTGTACGTTTGACTGAATTGTTGAAACAAGGTCAATACGTGCCCATGTCTATTGAAGATCAGGTGAGTGAGACTAAGTGCTAAATAAGAGCATCTGACTACTGCTATCTCTGTATCCCCAGGTTGCTGTCATCTACTGCGGTGTGCGCGGTCACTTGGACAAAATGGACCCCGCCAAGATCACCAAATTCGAGAAGGAATTCTTGCAACACATTAAGACCAACGAACAGGGTCTGCTCGATCAAATCGCGAAGGATGGTCAAATCTCTGAGGCCTCCGATGCCAAACTGAAGGATATTGTCTCAAAATTCTTGTCGACTTTCCAGGGTTAAGTGATTATTTGCTGTGCAAAGCCAAGCTGAATTAGTACAGTAGCATTAACAACAACAAAAAGTTACACTATTTCACACATAGTTACGCGAAAAATATACCAACCGAGAAATGCAGGTCGCGTCTAACAATAAATTATACAAACACTATAAAAACCACATAAAGATAAACAGATAATGCGAAGAAAAAAAATCGAAATTAAATAATTATAAAAAAATATGAAAAAAGCTATTCATGTTTCCTTTCTAATTGCACACATACATATATGTATTCATATACTTAATCAATGTTGCAGAAGGACTCAATTATATTTCTAAAAAATGGTCTGTAGGGCTTTTTCGAAAAAAACCACGATACGTTGCTGCCAAATTCGATGACGTCATGTGCTGAATAAGTGCACACTTAATGCATTTAACGAGAGCGCTTAAAAAAATGTTGGTGCTTTACTTGCTGCACAAATTCGACACATGACTGCGTGAAAGCATATTTTTTCGATTTACAACTTAATTTGAAGTATTTACATATAACAGTAAACATGCATACATTATACTAAAAACTATTGTTAGGTAATACAGTCAAGTGTGTACAAAAGATATTGTCATGCGAAGAAATATAATAAAGTAAGGCGAGATAAAATCGAAGCATATTTTAATTGCAAGGCACAAATAGAAATTGTCTCAAATCAAACGGTTTAACGGGAACTTTAGGAGGATCTGATTCTATATAGACGCCGCTTAAAGCATGTCAGCTGATGTAAACTATGTTTTTGCAATAAAGGTTTGCCAAAATGGTGAGTATTCTGTAATCTGTTGGAAATTGTTGTTTCTCTTCTTCTGTTGGTGGATTATTGGTATAAAAACATCCCCCAGCGTCTTAGAGGGAACACGAGTCATTGTTCATGGCTTGTTTGTTATGCATAAAAAGGCGGTCAATTTCTTTTCTATTTTTAGTTTTTCTTGAAATCGCTTGCCCAGTGAAGTGCCTAGGACTTGATTTACATACATACATATGTTCATTTCACGCAAGAAATATACATTCTAAACTCGTCTGTATTGTACAACTTTTTTCCTGCTCTCATACCAAAATAAATCAAAATATTAACGTGGCCAAACTATCATCGAATTTCACAGCTAGGGTTCCAGTTCTTAATCGGTGAAACAGTTATCATGTAACAGAACATGCGACGGCCTTACTTATGCTAGATGAACTTTATTCATTTTGAAAATGTTTTTTCCTCAAAGGAATCTCGTTAGTTTCTCGTAAGACGTAAAGTTATTTTCAGTAGGTGTTGGTTATTTTCTCAACCAATTTTCTAAAATTCGCCTTGTATTTTTGCGCAAGGTCCCTTTTCCGCCTGCAATACTTGACAGCACTGTTATTAACATCATCAGCCACAACCAGCTGTTACATCTGCTGTTGCGGCACTGTAAGTCGCTGTCATGGTATTGCTAACATTTGTTTTCGTGCCTTTACTGACGTTCTTGACATTCAAACGCAACTTTCAGAGAACTTATAACATAAGTTCTCTGCAACTTTCTTGCATTTGCTGTGCGCCTATTCGAAATCCGAGTTTGACGGTTTTATGAGCGTCATTATTTTTCGACACATTTACGACCGACGGCGTGAGCACGCACACACACACAAACAGAAAAATATCCGCATGTGCCAAAAGTGCAGACGATAAAAAATATTTATTTAATGTTGTGGATTGAGGGGTATACAAAAATTGCTGAAAATCCTAACAGCAAACAAACATTTTTGTCACCGCCACTAGGTAATCAATGCGCACATTTCCTTCCTTCTATGCATGTTTTTGCCATGTCTGCTTGTCTGCTTACCAGCAGGCGCATAGGAAAAGCAGAAAACTACTCGGTCTTGGACTAACGCCAAACAAGAGCGGCTGAAAAAATGTTGCCTGCAGTGGCAGGGGCTCAGTTTGAGCAATTGGTTGTCGGCGCTTCCCAAATTTTCATATGACACATAAGAGCGAGCAGACATGCGTACGTGCAGTGATTGTAGACAGACCAATTTGCCACCCCGTCATAGGCATGATGTGTGGAAAAATGTTGAAATTGTTTTTGTCGCTTCTTTTACCAATGTACATAAATATGTACCATATATAGACACATACATTGTTGTAGTATGTTGGTTTACCTTGCTTTGTCGCTGAGCTACTGTTACCGAAATATGCGCGGCATAACGACCTTTGTGCGGGTCGTCTTTCGGACAAAGTATGTACGCATTGTTGTTGGTTGGCACAAGAAAAAAAATGAAGCTAACTGAATATTATAACCATCACAAAAAAAAAGTCAAATTTTTCGTTTTTAATAGAAGTATTTTAATCATACAAAGAAATTACATTCGCCTACAAAGCAAATGTGTGCGGCATAGCGTGGAATTAAACCACTACACTACTTAAGTTATAACAAATACATTCGGTTTGAGGCATACAAACGTTGTAGAATTTAATTTTAGTTTCGATTTTGTTATAATTGTAAATCTACAGGTAAAGACAAAATTGATTATAATCCTAAGCAATTATTTTTTGTTAAAAAATACATTAGCATTAATTGCTACAGACTATAAGTGAAGCGTAAATAGCAATAACAGTTACAAAATATTTTCATCTATATATTTATAAAGTACATTCAGTCACTAATATACGTTGTTTGCATAGTCGGCGCGGTACACAGTGGTTTTCCTCACTTTATTAGGAAACTATACGTTTTGGAAACATCTAAACAATACATAAACATGACATTATTTTCACTATTGCAATTCTTAAACAATTATATTTAAGATGAAATATACGTTTATTCATACATACAAATGTAGTCGGAATGTTGTCCTTTATTTTCTCCATTATTGCTGTCCACAATTTCCACCTTCTTTCACTGCTATAATGCAAGGCATTACATGGAAGGCATATATTATCTATAATGATATTCGGCCGACGATCTCTAAATTAGCATATATTATCCAACTAATTTCAATTGTCGCATAATACTTAAAAGTAAAAATATTATTTAAAATAGATAAATTGGATGATAATAAAAATAAATGAATATTTATATAAAACAAATAAAAACAATTAAACTAAACGACGACAGAAACATAAATTAGACACATGACAGCTGCTTTTGCTGCTACGGCTGGCGCCATCTTCACTTCATACACGCATTTCTTATTCAGCTTGTTCAATTATCGAATCAATTAGTTTATCGTATAGCTCTGAACGTAATGCAATTTTATATAACTTCGATGATTGATATTTGTTATAGACCGCTTTCAGTTTGGCGTTTGGTGCGTTTCGCACTACTTTAGCAATTTGCTTGGCAATTGGACGTAAATGCTCGGGGCTATAGCGCGAATACCATTGCATTGTAGGCGTCCAGTGTTGATTATTGAAACCAGTTGGTAGCTTTGAGTTATCTTGGAGTAAATGCAACGCTAAGAAAAGTGACGAAGCGGCGATCTAAAAAAATATTATGCACTTTTATTTATCAACCAATTTCTTTTACACTAATTTTTATTTTACCTCCGATGGTTTGTATGCCGCTAAATCGTATTCGACTGATGTCAATTCGAGGAAATATTTTGCCATTGCATGATGAATATCTTCTACATTAGCCGCCTTTGAGAAGCGTCGCAAAAAGTGTATGGGCAAAGGACGCGACAAATTGCATTCGAGTATTTTAATGATTTTCAATTCCATTTGAATAATTTGTTTGGCTGTATATGTATTATCAGTAATATAAACGAAATCAGCTATTGATGGTGGCACCAATTCTTCATATTTGGCTGCAATGAATAGCGCTGTAACTCCCACTAATTGCAAATGTGTGCGCTTTGTATCATTAACTTCTTGTAAATAACGATCAATAATTGCTACTGTCATTTGGAATGTTTCTGGTGTTAGATGAAATTGAAAATGCACTTCATTGATCCAATCGATGAGAACTGCGCGCATTTTAGGATAAACTTCTTCTTGGTCATCCAAATGATTTTCACGTATTACTTGTTCATCCTCTAATTGGAATAGGTAATTATAAATGTCATTAACATATTCGGATACCAATAATAGTTTATCGGCATCGCCAGCATCAATGTCTTCAACATCATCGAGTTGCTCTTCTTCAGATTTGCTTGATTGTGGGCTTAAACTTAGTTTTTCAGCAATATTCTTATTGTCATTATCCGAATCAATTTCCTCACTTGCAACTGTGGATTTGATTTCTTGTTCGATTTTTACACACTGCACTGCAGATCTCGCAGTTGAAGCCTTGTTGGCATCACGTGACAAGACTGCTCTTAACTTGCTCAAAGACTTAAGCGATAAATTACTATCTTCTCGTCGCAATGTAATACTCTCACCAGATTTTTTTGACTTTTCATCATTTGTAGCCTTGGCTTTAGACACTATAGTTATACAAATGAAAAATTTTAAAGGTGGAAAGCCGATGTATTAATATATGTATGTATATTCAAAAGGATGTTTAAATATAACATATCATTATTTATTACTTACATTTTCCTTGTTGTAATTTGTTTTCCACTACTTTTGTAGTAAGCGTCTTATGTTTGCTCAACCCAGCCACATTTCTATGAGCAGCCGTTGAATCAGCTAAAACACCGGCTGTGCGTGTAGAATTCGAACGCGTAACAACCTTCTTTGGCTGCTCAGTCGCTGTATTGCTTTTAACAGAAACAGCAACGGCACCTGGCGCCTTTTTCCAGTGAGTATCCACACGTGGCTTGGTATTTTGAATTACATTTTTCAATTTCGCATCAACGCTGAAGTAAAAAATTGAAATTGAAACATTTTTAAAATTAATAAATGATTTAAGATGTTTAAATTTGAATAAATACTGAGTTGACATATATAAAATGTTTACTTTTTATAGTCAATTTGAAAACAATCAAGGCATAGAAAAGGGGATGTATTTACGATCAAATAATTATTTGCCATAAAAAAAATAGCGAAAGGTAAATAGTCCTTTTTCGAAGACCAGATTAGCAAGTTAAGAAGTCGACGTTGTTCTTTATAGGATGTATTTTATACTTACTCTTTTTGCGCTGCTTCTTTGGCATTGGCCAGACGGATAACAGCTTTATTCTGAAGGTCGCCCAAAGCTGCACGTCTTGTGTTTTCCGTGGCATGACTAACTCCAAACTTTTTTACTTTGGTGAAGTTATTGGCATCATTCTACAAAATAAGAACAAAATAGTTAATATTTAATAGGAAATATACTAAATATATATACACATGGCAAGGTATGCAATATATCTGACTTATTAGTACAACTGCCATGATGCATGTTTATGTGTATATGCATATGCATGTATGCAACTTCACCAAGAAGTCAGCCTCCATTTTGTTTCCCCCCCTCTTCTACCCTACTTATTAGCTACGACGTGACAAGATCTGTTAGGAAGCAATAACAATGGATAATGCACATAAATCTTATACCCACATTTTTTTTTTTTAATTAAACCAATTAGATTTCAAATTGTCATATTGACTTACCTCATCAATACGAATTTTAGTAGCTCCCACCATTTTTTTTCTCTGGATTATACTTATATATTTCAACACAATATTCGAGTTTTTCTCTTCCTTGCTTGATGGCAAAATTCTATATTCACCGATTTTTGTTTATAATGTCAATTGCACTTCTTTTCTTATAGAAAAAAGTCGCTAAACCCTTTTCTATATAGAATTTTTATTATTCAATAAATTTTTCAGCGACAGTTTTCTCGAAATTTTCTAAGCAATAAAAAAAATTATGGCCAACACGAACCGTTGCAAATACTGTTTGAAGCGCACTTTTAAAAAGTCCCGCACTCTTTACGACGATGAACCAACACCAATAATGCTTCGTTAAGTTCATCATGAAATGAATATTTTACGAAAATTATGCTATTGGTGGTGCCACCTGAAAAGTTATTAGGACTAGTTGGAAAAATAAAAATGACAATATGGCAGCTATCCTGGATTCTGTTTGGAATATGATTACCATACCCCGATTAGGTGATTTTCTTTGTAAGAATGTTAAGCAGGACCCCAAAAATTAATTTTTAAATAAATAGTGACCTGTATATGAAATTTCGGAGCTTGTAAATAAAGTCCCAGCTAAGGAAATAATAGTTTAGTCCAGTTATATTTGTGTGAAAAACCCCATTTAAGGTCTTTATATAAAATATATCGTTGGAGCAAAATGTGTGGCGATTAGTAGTGGGATGGCTTGAGAGTGATACTCAAACATAATAATTATTATGTGCTGTTAAATTAATAACATCATCAAACTAGTGGAAGTTCAGGTTTAAGAGTCTTCAGAAAAATACGCAAATTACTTGGCTAGTCCCATGCAATAACTTTGTCCTTCAGTTGTTTTTATGAACACCCTAAAAAACTAAAAAATCTGTCTTTGTTTAAATCATGAACATATATGGCAGCGCTACAAAATTAACGAAAACTCTTACTGTGTACGGCGACATCGAGTGGATAATTTTTACTGGTTGCCATTTGCGGAAATTTATTTGTTTTTTTCGTATTTATTTGATGAAATAAATTCATTTTAAATAATGAAATCAATTGAAGAATTTTTAGTTATGAATTTTTGTTAGAAAAATTGGTACAGTTCTTTTACCTTTTTATTTATATACGTCCTCATCGATATTCAATATCGGGATTCGACCGATATTTGATGTCATTTCGAATTTATCGATATAGTTCTTATATACCTAATCATATGTCATATGTTGACAATAAACGAAAAATATCACTTTTTCGGTGAATTCTTTGTTTTCTTTGGAATTTCCGGAATTTTTTGTTCGTGAAAACAACGTAACAATTTGAAAGTGCCGAATTTAATTTTTAACCGGAAATAAACAATATAATGCCGAAGTTGAAAAAATTGTTGCCTGGCATTTTCGGCAATGGCAAAGAATCACAAAAAGTTACCAATAAAAAAGAAAATGATTTAAGTTGTAGTGCGAACGATAAAAGCATCCAAGGCAGATTAGAAACAGATGCATTGCCCGTTGATGATAATGAAGAAACGCCGACTACTAACAACAATACACCTACACCATCAACAGAACTTACTGAATCTGTGGTACGTGAACTGTCCGACCCAAACTATAATTCCGTCGAAGCTGCCACAAGCGGTCGGGTATTTGGCGCTGAATCTGGTCTGAATTCCAATACTGGTGCATTAGCGCTACAAACATATAGTAATAATGCATTAACGCCAACCTCAAACGATTCACTCACACCTACTACACCGGGTGCTCTTACACCAACCACTATGAACACAATGAACGTACATAATGCTCAACAACAAATGGTAATGCAATTCTCCAATATAAAACAATTGCATTTTGGTTCAGTTTATAATTTCAATAGCAACATAAGTGGCGTTGCTACGAATGGCACTCGAAAAAGTAGTAAATCTGAAGACCCAAATTCACCTAGTTGTTCTACTGGTGGAGAAAACACGAAAAGGCTATACCCACGTAAAACCACATCTATTGTGGCTATGATGCAATCACGTGAGGAGCCAAACCATCGTATATTAGAAACAATATCTACACATTTGGGCGAAGGTTGGAAACATGTGATGCGAGAGTTGGGTTTGTCAGAAGGACAAATCGAGCAAGCTGTGATCGATCATCAAATGCATGGTGGAATCAAAGAAGTATGTGTGTTTATTATATCTACATATATATATACATGTAATAACTAATTATATGTTTTCTGAGTATTTGAATAATAACACAATTATTTTTTAGGTTATTTACCAACTATTACTCCTATGGATTCGTGATGCAGATGATAATGTAGCAACACTTGGTCACATTACTTCACTGCTTTGGGAACTGAATCATCGGGATTGTGTGCAACGTATGAAATTGGTATACAAATCGGAGGGAGAAAAAAGAAAACCATCATCTTAATAAGTGCAATATGAATTGAGAAAATTAGTGACATATGGTTGTATTACTGGGCTAAACCCTCAATTAGAACTTTTTAGTATGTACGATTGTATATATGTATGTATACAGAAATACTTTTTTTTTTAAATTTTAAAATAGTTATCAGCATAAATTGTCAAATTACTTAAATGAAGTGAAACAAAGTTCATATTAATATTGTTTGTTGTTTAATAGAGATAAGAGATATTGTTTAGAATTATCGTTTTTTCTATGTCTGTTATACAAATTTTTTGGATGTTAAAAATATTTCATAATTAATTTCTATCTTAATTTTTTTTTTAAAATATCAGGAATTTATAAAGATAGGTATTAAAAATGTATATAATTTATATGCATATACATGTAAGCGGGTCAATTGCATTTTATATCGAATATACAAGGATTTTATTCTAATACATATTTATATAACGTATACATATTCATATATATATTATATATAACATAAATTAATATTAAAATTGCTAAGGTATATAACTTTTTATGCAAATCCTTGTAAGTACATGTTTAATAGTAAACAATTGTAAATAATTATATATTTTCCGAAAATATTTACATCAAAAATATACAAAATTAATTACGAAAAGCTTTAATGTTAAAAGTAATGAAATAAAATTGTTTTTGTAACAAAACAAAAAGTAAGCTTTGAAATTACATTTATATATATATATTTATAAATGTATGTATATACCAGAATGGGCGCCACTTTCCACAATATATGCAAAAACTTAATTTTGAAGAAATCTAATATTCTAAAACTCATATATTTGCGGTATCTTTAGACGAACCCTTTTATTTATGGGGTACTACAGCCTACAAAGCCAAGCTGTTGCCAGGAGAATGCTAAAACACTGTGCAGACACAATAGAATCGGGGGTTTTTTTTTGAGATACTTGAGATATATTGTAAAGGTGATGTACAAAATGAGCTGAATTCCCACAAGAAATTGTAATCTAGTGCAAATTGAAAATTCTCACCGAAATTCCTTGAATCCTATACGGAGTCTTTATCACAAAATCTTATTAATGCTCATAAATAGCTGCAGTGGTCACAAAGCGCCGATTTTCATATACATTTGCGGCCGCGGTGGTCGAGTGGTTAGCATGGCATATTGCCATTCGGAAGGCCCGGGATCAAGTGCTGATACGTTCAACAGCCAAAAGTTATAGAAAAGTAATTTAAATAAAAAATTAATTTAAATTTTCCCCTTTTGGAACTGTCAACCCCACCGAGTGTATTTCTGACATGAAATGAAGGCTTCTCATAAAAAAAACACCATACTACCCTATAAACTGTAGGTCCCTCCATTTGAACCTGAGAAAGAGGAATACCTTCACTATCTTGGCACAACTTAGGTCTGGATACTGTAGCAGGTTAAACTCTTATTTATCCAGACTCGACCCCAGTATATCCAACGTATGCCCTGCATGTGTTGAGTCTCCGCACGACATTAACCACCTCTTTACATGTCCTCTCAAACCGACTCATCTATGTAACTCCCCTCTCCCTTTGTTAAAAAGCCGTCGAAACAGCTCGTTTCCTGGACCTCCCACTAGATCACCTCCGCGACTTAGATTAGTCAAACCTGTACCTAAGCGGGGTCAATGAACCGATAAGATAACAACAACAACAACAACAACGAAGACCTTCACTTAATGGTAAAGATCAGGTGGAGAAATTTTTAGCTTCACTTGGATGTATTTATACTAAATATAATCGCGTATTTGACAACACGTGTTACACCGTTAAATTCAAAAGTCACTTGAAAGTCAATAGTAAAATTTCCGATTAAAACAATAACAATCCGCGGTACGCATTACATTACCTATGTACAAATATATATGTATGTATGTATGTATGTATGAATGTCTGGCCTTTAATTAGAGCTACAAAATTAAGAAAAAATATATTTCTTCTTTTATCAACAGATTATATTTATTTTATTGCACGCAAAATCACTTGAAAATAAATTTCAACTCTCTTCACACATTTTATTTTTATCAATTTCATTAAAATTCTCCTGACTTTCTCCAGTTCTCACACAATTCTCTTAACTTTCTCTTTAAAGAAGTCGACAAGCATTTGAGCGCCATAACCATTCAATTGATTGTAGTTAGGTATCTTACTCATGCGTTCCAACCAAGCTTTCAGTTTCGGGTGCTTGGCTTCTTCGATGGGCGCCAAACCGACTAGACTGGAGACCGTCGAAACAACACTGAAATCGGCTAGAGTTATAGACGGACCGCACAGGTAAGGCTGTTCATCCAAGAAGGCTTCGAGAAAATCGTAAGCTTCATAGATGGCATTGATTTTGGCGCGCGCCACCTCACTTTCATTGTCATAAAACACTGGTAAGGCAATGTTACGCAAACAGCCTTGAAACAATACGCCGGTCTCAAAATGTAAACGCTGATCCACTTTGGCGCGTTTAATGAAATCCTTGGGATAGAGTGTGTCATCCTTGCCATAGCGACGCACTAGATATGTAATGATAGCATGCGAATCCCAAATGTACTCGCCGTCATCCTCGAGCATTGGCACTGTATGTTGTGGATTTTTGCGTAAATACTCCGCTTTGCGATGTTCGCCATCCAGCAGTTTTACTAATACGAATTCGTATTGCAGATCCAGTGCGGCTAGGGTGAGCTTACAAGCGCGCACCGGGGGACTCATATCAACACCATATAAAACTAGTTTGCCCATTGTGGTGTTTTTGATTGAAAGTGTAAATTTTCGAATTTAAATTTTTTTGTCCGTTGTCCGTGTGGCGCCGAACGTGTTGGGAGCTGCTGCTTAACTGAGGTACAGAAGTACCAATACTTGGCTTTTCATCGGAGTACCTATGTATATATATATATATATACCATTTTGGACTTTGTTTATATTGATGAGATTAGAGCGTCGTCACACGGTTAAAATGTGCAAGTTCATATGTACAGTAAGTCAACTATTTGATCACATACCTTTTCCAAATACTTTTTCTTCTTCTTTTTTTTAATGAACTTTTGAATAAAAAAGATAAGTCCTCTAAGTAGGCATATGAAATGTCGGTTAATCAATGCGGAGTGCCTGGAAATATGGAAGAAATCGAAAGCCTTTTTGATTTAAACACAAAACACATAGAAGTTCCAAGACTCGTTGGAGTTTCTGTGAAGTCTGGACGAAGGCCAATTTTGAACGCCGCACTGGAAAGACCCATGGTTATGCGGCCCAAATCAGGTGTGTTCTCTTCCATGGTGATGGAATAAATGCAACAAAGAAAGCTTTCAGGAAAAAAATGCGGAAAAAAGTATTGCGCAATCGTGTCAAAGTAAAAAAAAAAACTCTTCACAAAATGACACTGTGAAGTGAGGCTCCAAGTTGCAAAAAAAAAAACTATAAAACCTACACCCACAATGACGGCATCCAAGTCATATACGTAGTCAGACGAAATAGAAATAAGCCGCCTGGGAAAAGATGGGCGGCTATAGATTCGGAGGGGACCTCGTGAACCTTTAACTAGCCGCATCGTTCAACCAACGTTGAAGTTTGGAGAGGATAATGCAATGATGTAGCGATGTATGAGACTGGAGGGAGTTGGAGAGTGTGTAAGGTTTACCGAGCGAATGGATGCCAACTAATATGTTGATATCCTTCAACAAGGTTTCTGCAGTAGCCAAGAAGTGTGGGACAATAATGTGTTGGACGTCGTCCAGCCAGCAAGAAGGCTGCAAAACAACAGCTTTGAAGCACTCGACTGAGCCACCTCAGTTACCAGACCTCAAAACAATCGAAAATACATGAGAGCGGAGATATTTTTGACAATTCTAAGAAAGCAAACATGTGTCTTGAAAAGAAGTATGTTACTTTTAATTTATTACCTTAAGTTGTTTTGTATATGAAATAAAAATTGGAGTGCAGAAACAAATAAAAAAGTTTCAAACGGAAATCTTTTTCCGATAATTCAGGTGTGATCAAATAGTTGACATACTGTATTTCACATACTAAGGGCGTACATATTTACATACATTTGTTTTGGGTACTGAATTTAAATATATACAAAATAAATCATACAACCGGGTATATATTAGGTGTAGTAAAAAGAAATCCATTATTTTTGCATGAAATCGAAAGGTTGAATTTTTTCTTTTCGTATCCAAATGGTTTTCAAATGATTCCAAACAGGTTTTTGTGGACCTTTTAGCTTTTGAGCAATCGAAGCAGTGCTGACATGACGGTTGGACTCGACAATGTCCTTGATTTTATTGACATTTTCGACGATTGGTCTTCCACGCCGTGAATCATTTTTTACATCAAAATTACCGAAATTAAACCGAAATTGTGTATGATTGACTATAACGGTGTTTGGACCTTAAACTCTATTCACATTTTCGCCCTTATCGAAGGGAAACTGTAAAATAAAGCGTATTTTCTCTTTGCCAGCGTCCATTTTTGACGCAGGCCCTAACAAAACTGAATCAATTAATCACAAAACTGCCAGAAAAGATTTTTTAGTGTGAAATTTCAAAATTTTTTCATATTTCGGTAGATTACACCTTTAAAAACAACATATTAAAATTTCAAATCGTTATCTCTATTGGTTTTTGAGTTATAGCAATTTAAAGTGCAGCCGCTCGGCAGCTAGAGAGTCTCATTAGCTACGAGTGAAAACGATCATTTTATCTTTAAACGCGTGTTTCTCGAAACAGCATTTTCCGAATTTGCTGCAGTTATTACTCAAAAACAAATGATCCGATCACTATCGATTTTTTTTCAAATGTTTCATGTATAGTTCTCCGTACAATGACCTATCGATTTTTGATCTGATCAAAAAATCGAATTTTGGCAGGCCAAAAACGTCAAAATATTGGGTAAAATTCGACTATTTTTTTAAAAAGCCGCCATATTGTCAATCTTTTGATTTTTTTATCGTAGGTTATTGTACAGACAATATTACCTAGTAGAGAATTTTTTTTACATTTCATTAACGGAGAAGACCGGAATCACTGGGTGAAGGGCCTTTTTTTCGCGCCGCTGGAGATCGACTATAACTTAAAATATATTTAATTTTTTTCTTCAAAAATTTGACTGTATATTCTTGAAACATGTATAGATATATTCTTAAAATTTTGGAATAATTGATAAAGTATTTTTTTTAATAATAAAATTTCCCAAAAATCACCTTTTTTTAGGCCATTACACTAGGTATGCCCCTTAATACGAAATGTCATCTTTTTAACGCTATCTAGCGGAAACCGTTTGGACTTATACAGATAAATAACGGCATATATTGGAAAAATAATGGATTTATTTTTACTACACCTAATATTACATAGCATACATTTAAGTATATACATATGTATGTTTTTTATAGTGACTTAATAAAGCGTACGTCTAGCTTTTACTGAGCTAATAAATTGCATTTAATGCCAGAGAATCTTTAGATGAGAGTCGGCACTAGTAGACATACATATGTACGAATATACTATACAGCCTTGGCCAAAAGTATTAGGCACCCCATTGGTATTACTCAAATATGGCTAACAAAGTTACCACTTCTGTTTGTAAATGTCTTCCATGGCTGTTTAACTGTTGATTAAATGTATAAATTGTGTAATATTAAAAGTCCCAGCACTCTGGGTAAGCAAAACCTAAAAATTGTCATTTTTAAGAAATTCATAAAATATTTTCGCATTTAAAATTTGAGAGTGAAAGTTTAAATTACATTTACTGAAAAGTTACCAATCTTATAAAAACTGTTCATATTTACCAAAATGCCTAAAAAAGTAAAATTAGTAACGATGTTAGAAGTGAAGAAGGTGAGTCTCAGATTGAGACTTCCAATTCGGTGGGATGTTCACGGTGCGCGGTTCAATATGCTATCAGGCGACTTGTGGAAACGAAATCCCACAATAATAAAGCGTCTAACCAGTAAACGAGAAAACCGAACACATATGCGCGAGTCTCTCAAGGATCGCAAAAAAATCTTCTTCTGGCCTTTCATATGAATTTAGTAAACCAGTGAGTGTTCTAACAGCTAGAAGAAGACTTCTGGAAGCGGGTTTAAAAGGATGTAAAGCTCGAAAGAAGCCGTGGCTTTAAGAAAAGAATAGGAAAAATTGTTTCGAATGGGGTCGCCGATACCAACATTTCACGAAAGAAGTTTGGTCGATTGTTCTGTGGGCTGATAAACCAAGCTTCGAGGTAAGCTTAGCTAAGATCGTCTTAAAGTATAAACAGTCATAGCTTCTTACCCTAGAGCAATTTTGAAGACTTAATACAAATCTTATGAAAACATTATTTCTTCTTTTCTGCTGATATTTGGAACACCTGTTGTGACGTTCGTGAGGCGACGGGTTAGGGAAGAATATCATCCAGATTGCCTGGTACCTACTGTTAAGCATGGAGAAGGCAGCATTATGATCGCGGCTGCATGGCTGCTGATGGTGTAGGCGAAATGTTCATTGGCAAGGGTCGCATGGACAGTCAAAAGTACCTAACTGTATTAGAGGCTGTTCTACTGCCTTCGTTAACGCGCATTTTCAGCGATACTAATTTAGACGGGGTTCAATTTCAGCAAGACAATGCTCTTTGTCACATATCAGCGACTACGATGCGTTGGCTTAGAGATAACAACAGTGTTTTGTTGTAGATTGGCCTGCACAGTCTCCATATCTTAATCACATTGAGCACATGCGGGCTATTTTAAAACGTAAGATTAAAGAACACAGTATAAAATCAAAAACTACCTTAAAGAATGCCTTAATTTACGAGTGGTACGCAATAAGTGCGAACGAATGTGCAAAACCTGTACGCAGCATGCCTAAGAGAATTGCTGCCGTTATTAAATCGAAGAGTGGATCTACTAAATATTACTGTAATTATCACTAATTCATTGTATTTTTACTGTTTTACTAATAAAACTTCATTACTTCACGTGTTAAAACAAAAAATTCAGTAATTAGTGGGGTGCCCAATACTTTTGGTCAAGGCTGTATGTATGTAAATGTATGCATATAATTTTAATTGAGATTACATAAAGATTATTTCAAATACTTTGTTAATATAAAGGGAAATATTATAAATATGTATCAATAAATATATACACAAATACAAATGTAATACCAGCTGTATAAACAACGGTGAAATAAATTCTTACATTTAATCAATTTTTCATTCATTTTAATCTGAAAACAATGTCTTGGATTTAAGCCGGCTTTGCCTTTGATTAATTGAAATTACTGTCAGCGTACTTCCATGGGATTGCCCAGGAGTCGATTTTTCCATTAAACCAGAAAAAGTATGGAGAGCGGCAGATTAACATTTAAACATTTTCGACGAAAGCGAGCATGGCGGTCTATGGCCGAACAAATGATTTGCGGTATTAAAACCTTTTGACAAATCTAGTGCTACCAGAACAGTGCACGCGCAAAGCGTTGACTCTCACGAAAGCCGGGTTTTACATATCAGAGTTGAGATACGGACTTTATCCGGCCATGAGCTGCCAGCCTTTGGGCAAAACTTCAACCCCCTCCCCCCCCTTTGGGTCGACAGGTGATTCTAGTTTAAGGGCAGCTAGAGTTGATCATTTATGCTTATATCATATTTCCATGTTAGATTTCCTGTTCAGTTTCTTGCCCAGAAAAATACAAAGCATTTTTTTTTTCAATCTTAAGTTTAAAATATTAAGAGAGTGCGGTTTTAAGTTCCACTTTATTGGAGTCAAGGTCTATGACAACTTACTTCTGTAGACAATCAGAGAATGGGAGGGAGGATTCTAGCTTTAGACGCCCAGGAGTAACTGGTTATGAAATACATACATACGTGCATACATAATATAAATA